GTATTATGATACCTCTTCCCACCATGCCGAAAGTTAAAAGCCTGCGTTTTACATTAATCATTCCAGAAGCTGATGAAATGAATTTTCTCGGAAAAATGTTTCTTAATTTAACGAGCTGTTGCAACAGTTGCTCCAAAAATTATAGAATGTAAACGATCTCATGGCTAGCACATTGTGCGGCCTAATGAATTTCGTCGAAGCATGTACATTATAAGGTACAATATTTCAAAACCAGCCGCCGCGACTGGTGTTGCATCTCCTATTAACTTACTTATTGGCAGGATATTTCGATTCTTTTGCGTCGAAAAATGTAAATATTACACTAGGTGATCTAGCGACGCATCATGTCTTCTTCGTTCTCGTTGATAAAACTTAATTGTAATTTTATCGATATCCAACAGTGAAAAATTAGCCTTGATATTTTCGGGGAACCTATAAAGACACGGGGTTTAAATGTTTGTTTGTTTCTATGGAAAGTGTCAATCCCGATGAATGCCACAATCGTTACAAACTCTTTTCAGGTCTCACACACTTGATAAATATTTGAAAATTGATAGTTTTACCCAATATTTATGTCACCCATCCAAAAAATCAATCGTATTTTTGCGCAAAGTATAAACTATATTTCGCGCAAATATTAATGCCTTTCTAATATATGTTCGCCTGTTACCTTTTCTGACAGATAAAAGTTGCTTGAAATATAATTTCCCATCTTGCCACAATATTGCTTTAAAATTTTGAAAACGTTTTCTAAATTTAAAGTTAATATTCACGCAAAAGAGGAGACAAATAAAATTATTGAAAACGGTATGCTAGTAGACCTGCGGCAAGAGCTCAAGTCAAATAGATAATATATTATTTTATACACTCCAGAATATTATATGTTCATGTAAACTTAATATACGTTGTTAGCCTTGTTATCCTTCATTCCATGCATGTAGTATATTTTTTGAATATTATTTTGGCAATGTACACCTTGTTGTTGAAAATTTGCGATACGCATATTTTAATATCATGACATGTACCGCAAAAATAGTGCAAGTTTCTGTAGTATAAGTTGTATTGTAGTTCTGTCAGTTTGTTGAAATAGGTCTGTGCAAGTAGCGATAATTACACCAGGAATTTTATAATAATTTAATAATAAAATGTGTATCTTTTTGTTTAATATTATGGTCTTATCGGTTGTTGATTTATCGAGTGAGTTGGATGACTTTAACCTTAACTCTGTATATGCTGACCATACCGCCGAGCCGAATTATCTGAGAAACATCTGCGGATAATTAAATTTTCAGAAGAATGTTCATTCGTTTGCCGCTGCGAAAGTTTGGTCCGAATTATTGAGCATCGTTTTTTTTTAATCAGCTGTTTAACGATCGCAGGTTTGAATCACTTAGTTAGGATCATACAGCGATAGAACTCTTGACGCAAAATGGCTGGTGTGACGTCACACGAGCGCTTATAACGTTACCAATGGTTGTCCTCACTTGTTTTATAGTCACTTTGAATTTCGAGTCGTTCTGGTAATATAGCGCCATCTGGTTGCAGTTCAACGTACAGCGGATTGTTGACGGAACGATTATTCATTCGTTTGTGACGAAATCTGTCGATGTAAGAGAGAATAATGTCAAGGATTAACATACATTACAGGAGAGAGAAACCAATAAGACGGCTAATCATATCCAGTAACTTTGGAAGGCTTCACACTCACCCTAACTCATAGACTCTGTGATTAGTCACCTATGTGGGAGTCCAACGTTATATCATAGTGATGAAAAAAGTCGAACATTCGATACTAATAAAAGTCGGAATTGAAGATACATTCAATAGACTCGATATCCCGGTGTCATTCTTGCCAATGAAAGAAAACGACTCTAGACACGACAAGCCAGGTAACCATGGCAACCGCAGTTCATTGAATAGCGAACGGAAGAGTAGTTACCATTGGAACGATTTTCCAACAATAATTTAAAACAATGATCCACATGTGAAAACATTGTGAACACATGTGAAAACTTTGTGAAACTAAAACCTACCTTCCATTACTCTTTATTCATCTCACAATGAATGCAACAATGATTATTATGACAAACAATAGTATTATTTCACCAACAAGAGAGCTATGCTCAAATATATGGACACGTATAGTCACATAATTTTGATGACGTCATAGCGAAAAAAAGAGTCATAGCCTTCAAGAAAATTTTTCTTTTTAATCACTGAAAATTTCAAATTATTTGGTCCAGTATTCGAAGAGAAAAGTGATTTCGTCAAAACGTGTTGACGGAAACAAATAATAATAATAACAACAAAATTTTGAAACGATCGTTATGTCCACTACGTGTCCAACAATGCCCCTAATCATGCTCTGATTCACTGGAGTGGATGACGGGTTTGCTGGCGTTGTTGTACACCCGGGAGGTAGCTGTAAAATAAAAATAAATAATTGTGCGATGTAAGTAAATCAGGTAAAGCTTTGTCAAACTAAGAGTTAACTCAACAATGAAGGATTTATTTATTAGAATAGGATATACATATTCATCCCATGGAGAGGACATCTAGATAATGTGGCCTCTCGTCTGGTTGCTAGTCCATTTCGGATATTGGATTAGCTAGTGTTCTGCAATCTCTACTTGTCAAACTAGATCGAAACAGCTAATGAATCCGGCCGAACCCCCGTAAACGTGTGTTTTCATAGGCTTGAGATTCTAAAAAGCATTTCAAGTTACGAAAAATTGTAATGTATGATGCAGAAAAATGCTTTTTTTCAACTTTCAAAAAGGGGGTTACGAACCGCAACAACCCCCCACCGCCAGGGGGTAAGCATGGGTACTCCCGTAGTATGTGAAGCAAGATGGCGGACACCGGAACGTAGTATGTGTACCATGTTGGGGTTTGGCCATAATTTTATTCCTATTTTCCTTATTTTAGTTCTATTACGATTTCGAGGACTCTATGTGTTAGCCAATATACCCCCTGTTCATAAGTTTCGGTTCATTTATATAACTTGATGTATAGTAGGTGAACAAAATTAGTTACCTCCATATTGGTACACATACTTCTGGAGCACCGACGAAAGTATATTAGCGTAATAATTGGAACAGTATTTAAAAGGAACTAAAAATGAGCTCAAGCATACCTTTCTATTCTAATTACAGTTGGGCTTAATAGCATCAAGGATCCGGTTTTTAAAGATAGAAAAAGCAATCGAAAAATCGCCGATGAGATGGCAGTAGGCACCAATAATAATAAATAAAATGGTGCAATAACGCCATCTCTGCGTTCTGAATATTCAAACTGGGATTACGGTGTTTGTTATCTGCTGCAAACGCTTTTGCGGACTCTTTGCGAGAAAGCATATGTATAATCACACGAGACAGATTTCGTCGTGAGAGAATAACGCTCGTCCCTGATTAATAAATTATAAATCCGAAATATAAAAATTGACGAACGGCACAGAAGAGGCGGAAACCGACTCCATATCGACCATCCTTACCCGAGAGTATCTGAATTCTTACTTTTGTGCTACAATCCTTTGATTACTATCCAATAAATGCCATCTCAGAACAGTAGAATTACTCTTCCCCTATAGTACTCCACTTTGATAACTTATGGTACCGACGCAGAGATGACTGGCAGATGCCGTGATCCCCTACTTGATCCCAATGCCTCAGTGTATCTTTTCATTTATTTCAACCAACAAAACCATTCCAAATACGAAAATAAATTCGAACGGAAATCCTTTTCCGTAAGCTTCAAAATATAGCAAACTGGTGACGTAGTAACGCATCACTCATGCGTAGCAAACCGGCCGTGAGCAAACTATATTCAGTAAATTAGGATCTAGTGCTGCCTTGTCTTTAGAATGCCGTTGCTGTGGTTACCTTGCTTGGCAGTGGTCGAAGTTGTATTTTTGTATGTAACGTTTTTTTAATGATACAATGTTTGACTCCCCCCCCCCCCCCTCCCTGATTACTTTAAGACTTAATTAACTTGGGTGTCGCTGCTTGATAATCAGTATTGGTTGTTCGCGCCCCCTTCCACCCTGAAATACCATTTTTACGTTTTTTTTTTGTTTGTACAAAGTGTATTTACATGATGATGAAAAAATAAAATACTGCTATCCGATAATAGGTTTTCAATGTTAGCGTAATATTTTATTTACTCAATTCTATAGCAATGTTAATATGAAAATTCTGTTTTTATTTGTCAATGCGTATTGAAGATTGTAAAATAAACTTAAACTATTAAAGAAAAGTAATAAAATATAAATCAATTAGGGGAAAATGTGGGGAAGGTTGGGACACTTTTTTTCTTTTTCATATTTTGAGTCCTTTATTCTGCACATTCATATGACTTTGCGGGATTAATGCAGAGAGGGGTAAATGTAGTTTTTATTCAGCGACTAAGAAATTCCCTTGCGACACACATCTTACCACCAAAATGCTTTGAAAAACGTTTGTCAAGTGTCGCACTGTACCCCACTTGTGGGGCACATTCGGACAGACTCTGGGGCACAATGGGTCATTCTGTTAAAATTCAACGACGTATGCCCTTAAAAATAAGCAATCAATCAGCATAATCGTCTAAAGAACAGAGAGACTTCAAATTTGAAGATTTAAGATTTTTAAAATCAATGTTCAACCGAAATATTTCAGATATTTCACCAAAAAATTCGCATACGAATTAAATTATTTTCTAATCCGAATCTAAATCTGGAAATATTTTTGATTCTCGATTGGACCATGAGTTGAAAGATACCATAATGTTACATAAAAATATAACGCATCTCTAGGTCTCTAAGCACGTGTTGTATCAAACACTGTCGAATTGTGCCATGTAGGGCATGTCCCACTGAACCCTGGTTCATTGTTCCCCATAATCAACAAATATCTTCAGATCATCCCACGGCGAAATTCGGAAGGCCCATCCACTTGCCAACGTTATAAATATTTCACAGTGGACTATAGCTGAAAGATATCAGACGGTGGTTTGTCACGTTGAAAAGGCTAAGTTAGAAAAAAGAAAAAACTGGAACGGTGAAATTTTAGTTTCAACCCCCCAAAACCAATTTCACCTCATAGCTTGCGTCACTCTACCCGTCCGCTGTCCGTTTGCGGGGACGTTGTAACTCACCGAAGGGCGGATTGAAACATCAAACCGCGGAACGGATTCCGAATATAGTATTAGTGTGAGAGCTGATTTTCCACTGTGCCCCATATCCCAACGTGCCCCACCTTCCCCTACGTCCGAAGATGTTCATATCAAAATATTCAAGTATTCTACAGTTACACTTGCAGCTCGTGTCAATCTTAAATTTTCCAAATGAATCTATTTTGCGTTAAACCATGGTGGGCGATTACTTTTCCGAGTTGGCCAGTTACAGATAATAGACTTGGATACTGAGGCGGGATCTCAAGGCTCAATATGAAAAACTATGAATAAAAGACAATTCATTTACAAAAGCTAGTTCAACAGTTAGGCTTACGTTTATATCAGTGATTCTCAAACTTTTACAGCCGCACCCCCTTTTTTAGAATTTGTCACGTTTTGCGCCCCACCTCAAAAAAACTAGCTAACAATAAGGATGGAACGTAAATAATGAAGTAAATGTAATAACAATTACGTAACAATGGAGTCCTGGGATTAGAGTAAACATGCTAACGATTGTATGGAAGGTTCTAGAGTCAGAGGTGGGCAGGGTTTTGGGCCACGGACTAAATATTTTAACCACCTAGACTGGCGGGCCATCTAAGTGTGACGTAAAAGTTACATTTTGTGAATGATATTTACAGAGTTACAAAAGCAAACGTGGCAAACAGTAAGCAATTTCAACAAATTCCTTGAGCTATTTTCAACTAAAACATCAAAACTTGGTTATAGTTTGGTTGTGGCAGCATCAGGCGGGCCAAATTGAATTACCCAACGGGCCGGATTAGGTCCGCGGGCCATAGTCTGTCCATGTCAGTTCTAGATACTCTGAACTAGCAACATGAAGTTGAACTCTTAAACATGCTCCACGATAAAGATAATAAAGATACAAGAAAAACAGACTCTCTGCAATCTCTAAACAATAAAGAAATTTGAATAACCAAAATAAGGCGGACAAGATCAAATCTAACAAATATTTTTGACTATGATTAAATTTATGCCCCCTCAAAGTTGTCTACGCCCCCTTGTGGTGCATATAATCACTGGTACATATAATAAGAAGAAGCTCAATGTAACAATCGGGGTCATTATGACGTTATTTTCATCGATATTTTAAACGGAAATTTATGTTTAAAACTGTAGCAGACACTAGTGGGCCGGTTGAAATACATCGGTTGACCGGATTCGGCCCGCAGGCAATAATTTGCCCACCTCTGCGTTAAACGATTTAAGGTTAAGTATTGATAGGCTTGGCAAAAATATCGATAAATTCAGATGATTAAAATACGAGACACGGCATATTATAATTTTTGAATTTCAAATTTAAAGAAAAAAAAAAATTAGGTTAATGGAACTATCTTTGGTGAAATATGAATCAAATTTTTAGTGAATTCCAACTTTTATTTCAATTTCTTGAATTAATTTTGTCAGAAATGAATAATTGAATAAACGAACAAAGCCAACAAAAAGCAATTCGATAATATAGGGTGTCCATGAAGTCTTAAAAAAATTTTAAAATTGCAAAAGAAATTTATCGATGACATGTATAGTTTTGACATATGTATTAAATGAAGTAAGAATAGTTATACATTTACTTTTTTAAAATAAAAATGAAAACATAAATCAGGTTAAGATACATTTGAGAACTGACTTCATAACAAATTGAAATTGTAAATGGACTCGATGGACACCCTGTACTTATCACATATTATGAACAAAAAGGTAAAAGTAATGAAATTTGTTGAGCACATCTAAGAAATAGAATAATATGTAATCAATCTATAAATTCAGCGGGGATTATTGTCTGCAGTAGATTTATAAATGAACATGGTTGCTAAATCAAAGATTTTTCTTTTTCAGATCGGTGATGTGGCGCATCGTGCTAAGCGTTAAGAATAAGCTCGCCACTGCATCTCTGATTACCCTGTGTGGGTACGCACTCGCAGTTAGAATAATGTGGGGATAGTTATGTACATAAATAAAATGTATAAATAAATGTATCTGAACATTCAGATAGGGGCTCATATGCCGGTGAAGATGATCAATCAAATACATAACACATTTTATTAAGTTACAAATAGTTTTATCACTAATAACAAAGTATCTACCTCTCCCTATATTTGGAACCCCTGAGCCCCCCCCCCCCCTCTATGCGCTAAAATAAAAAGATGGTGAAATACGTAATATTCACACGAAAATATTTTTTTCTTGATTTTTCTATTTGACAGTTTGCTATAACAGTTAGATGGAAGTTTAAACTTCGCACAGGACGTATCGTTTACGATTGGGGTAGTTGTAAATGTATTGATATAGGCTTGTTGAATCTTCCTGAATCCTGATAACCATGTTTGTCCAATCAGAATAACTCTGTCCATTGAATGGAGAGTCTATGAACCATTTGAAGCCACTGTGTGATGTCACGGTTCCGTTTCGGAAACGAAGAATCTGATTCTAAAACAAAGAAGTGAAACTATATTAAGTGTTTAAATATTGGAACAATTTGATTACCGATTACCGGTACCGATACTCAGGTTCTCCTTTTTGTAACGTATTTGGATATTGGACATTACTATTTTTAATTATATATATTGTTCGACTTCTTCCTATTCAATCTGTATCAAAGTTAGATTTTTAACACGAGTGTCTCTGCTCGATAATCAACATTTATTTTATTGCGCCACCCTTCACCGTAAATGTCATTTTCATTGTTTTCTTTCCTAGTTTTTATTCGCATCAAGTGTACCTCAATCAGTACTAAATAAATGAAACAAACATTCGACCTGGAAAGTTAACAGTTCAGTGACTTTTACGCAGAGTCTTATCTGGAGCGAAAGTGCAAAGTACACAAATAAGGACAAATTTTATAATATTATGACATCACAACTTACTTTTAAATTTAAAACAATGAATTTAAACAATAGGAGTGCAGTTAGGAGGAATACTGATAAAGCTTTTATATCCAACTTACAATAGGGTCGTATGTCATGCCGAGATGAAACCATTTATCTGATTTCCCGTCCATCCTGTTGTCACGAAAGAATGTCATTATCTTGACCATATGTTTTTGATTGTAAATATTCGCAAGTTCAAAACCGAGCTGTTGACATTTGGCGATCGCTGATGCTTTGTAAACCTTTTCAGAGACCAACGGTATGAATATTCTTCCGTCATAGCGCACAATATCTGTAATTCAAATAAATATCAATTGTTAAATCATAATAATTGATCAAAGTGTGTCATCATACATTTGCATATCGAACGTTTGTTTTTTATTTTTCGTTCTATTTTTCAGGTTCGGTGGTGTGGCGCATCGTTCTAAGCGTTAGGAATACGCTTGCCACCGCACCTCTGTATACCCTGCGTGGGTACGCAGGTTCGAATCCCATAAAGGAATGATTATGTGCGAGAGGATTGCTGGACTCCTCGCTTCCACAGGGTTACGGCTTCCTCTACCATCAAGTCCATGCATCTGAAAACAAATAACTGGATAACTAATCCCATACCCGACCTGGATTGGTAACCGGACTAGAGGCCGTGGTTCGCAATATGATTGAGCCGTCTTATCGGCTTTCCTCTCCCCCGGGATAAATATGGCAATCCTAAATTCTAGCTAGGTTAGCATTTGGGAGACAATGCCAAACCGTAAAGACTGACCTCCAGAAAATAGTAGTTCTTTACATACCAATAGAAAGAAGCAAAGAGCCTTTTCGGGGTGTTCGAGGTGTGAATATAAAATCGCAGTGTTAAAAAATCAAAACTGCACACTCACATTCGTATAATGCAGCGGTTCTCAAATTGTGGCCCGCGGGCCAATTACGGCCCACGTGACGATTTATTACGACCAGCCGAACTTGAGTGAAATATTTTAACACTGTGTTTTTATCTTTTTGCATTCTGAATACACCAATTGTTACGTCATTATCGCAGTTTGAGCATGTTTGTATTCGTAACAATTAAATTATAGAGGAATCTTAATCATACGTATCAATATCGGCCACTTGATGGCGCTCCCCTATCCCGGCTCGCGAATGTCCTTCCGAAACCACTGGTGTTCTGTGAGAGGTTAAGACTTACATATTTTATCCCGGGGCAGATGGGAAGGCTCAATCATAATATGAACCTTGTGCTCGTGTCCGGATACCAGTCAATGTCGGTTATGGGATTAGTTAGCCAGTTATTTGTTATCAAAAGCATGGACTTGATGGTGGAGTATGCGGTACCCAACCAGCAAATACGTGAATCATCGCACATAACTATCCCTGCATAGGATTCAATCCTGCGAACACACAGTTTTCTTCGGCTCCTAGTTTTGGCCCTGGTCAATAAAGTTTGGGAACCCCTAGTAGTTTAATGCAACAAACCTTGTTCAGTGAATCCAGGAGGCAGAGAAACTGTCGGTGGAACGAAAAGAACCGTTGTTGCATCTGCAAAGGTGTTTGTGCTTTCTTGCCCGTCTTTTGGGTCTTTCTTGCTCGGAATGGTTTGTACTTCAGCACTAAAAATAAATATATTAGTCGTTATTTATTTTCCTAAAGTTGTTCCGCACAAAGCGCTGTTTTGCTCATAAGTAGAAGATTTAGAGCAGGAATCGTTCACTATTTCTTATTATGAACGTTTCCTTGACCCTTGACCCTTGAAATATTATCCCCATTCCATTGAAAAATTTTAAACGCTTATTTTTAAAGTGTTTAGGAGAGTTAGTGCTGTCAAACTGCTTCACATGTTCAAAATTAACATTCTTATTTTAAACATTGAACCACGTGCCGCTTACAGGTACTGTTGGCTTATTTTAGGCAGCCATTGAGACTGAACAATATAGTCTTCACAACTAGAGACTTAAATTGTTATCAATGAGTCGCTGCCACATCTGATAATTACAAGTTTTTTTTGTAAAATTACCAAAATATTACTTTGCAAAATTTGCTACATACCGATTTTCGCCAGATACATCTTCTACATTCTCTAATTGTAAACCATTCCCCTCTTGTCTCATTTCATTTCTGATTATGGAAAGCGAGAGAAATAGAATCAAAGAGACTATTGGTGATATCATAGTTAATAATTATTTAAAACGAGAGAATCTGTAAAAACAAAGATTTGTGTCGTTATAATGTTTAATAATTCAACAAAGTATATAAATCTCTGCATTCCCAAGTTAGTATTATTATGCAAGATTAGTATTATTAAGATTATGCAAGTATAATATCAAAGTTATTTTAATAAATTATTATTTTTTTTTATTAAATCATCTAGGCCAGAGCTTCCCAAACATTTAAGCTCGCGACTACTGTTGTTATGCAAGCGCATCGTTTCTATTCTGCCCTACGCATTCTCTCGAACTCGTGAGATTTATGTTTTGAACTAGTTTTTATAATTGTGTTTCGAATTGAAAGCCTAAAAATGTACTATAAATACTTTGTGTAAAATTCGTTGCGTGACTTCCTATGGGGTCGCGACCCCCAGCTTGGGAAGCCCTGATCTAGGCCACGATTCTAATTGTCCTGGGTTTGATAAGTTATGAAGTAGGAAAGTTTGCCCAACGATGAATTGAAAAGTCTATGAAAATACACAGTGAAAAAAAGAAACAATTTCAAATTTTCAACAATTCTATTCACGTGGTAGCTGATATTAAAATCAGTTTTCTCGGTATTCATAAACCCTTTAATAAATATTTTACAACCATTGTGCTGATCATGTAAAAGTCATATAGAAAAGTGTTTTTTTCAAGCGACCGAAATCTAAAAAACTTGATTTTGTGAAATTTCGCGACCCAAGGATGGCACACAACCTGAATATAGTATGCGTACCAGTTTAAGGTTCAGGTTGTGCGTCATCTTGGTGCACATACTTCGGGAGCGCCCTCAAATACTATCTGATATGTGGTACTTTAGGAGCAAAATTAAATGAATAATATAAAACAATCAGTTTATTTCCCAATAAATTATTTGAAGTGAGAAAACTACTTTTTTTTGCCATCAGCGAGTATTTGAAATCGACGCGTGGCTTTACTTGAGCAAAATAAATGCCGCTAAGTTTTTACCCAGTGATACACATGCAAATACTATTGAGCAACACTTTAATACCAAATATAGAATAAACAATAAAATCTACTATAAAATAAAATTAGTAGTTTTTATTGAAAAAAGCAAACAAGCCAAGAAAAATTTCCGGCGACCCAGTTTTGAGTCGCGACCCATAGGCAGGTAGCATATAATATTCAAGAAAGGGGGCTCCCGAAATAAGACATCGGAATGTAACATGTGTACTAGGTTAGGGTTAGGCCATAATTTTAGGTATAAATACTACGGGAAGCTCTTGGCTAGTCTTCGAACTGATAATAGGACTAAAATAAGGAAAATTGGAATAAAATTATCGCCTAACCCTAACCTGTTACCCATGTTACGTTCCGATGTCCGCCATCTTGGTTCGCATACTTCGGGAGCACCCAAGAAAGTATTGGCCTCTTGCGGGCACTCCCCACTTCCGGCCAGCGAATATCTTTCCACTTCCAACTGGTCCCCGGATATTCAACTTTAGTAACCATTGATAAATTGCAATACATTAGCGCTGAGTTCCCTTTTTCACGACAACTTCGACTGCAGTCTACCAGCTAACAAATACATTGTGAATGAAAACGCAATTAAACAATTCAGCTTTGAGTTCCATCTATGAGCTTGAAAGCAGCTAGCCAAGTATCCATGTTTTATCTAAACAACGAAAATGAATATTCTCAAACCATGTTATATGACTGCTCGAACTTCAGTATCTATTTTCCAATTCTCCAAGTTCTATTTTCACTTGCCTGGAATTAGAAAACATTGGATATTCTGATGCCACTGCTACCGCTGCGAATAAATTTATCACACTACTGTTGGAGCGAGACAAAAACTTCCCAGTACCGCCTCGATCGCCGAACGTGTACGCATTTCCGCAGTACGCGGAAGTTATTAAAAGGTCGTTCGTCGGTCAGGCACCCTCTGCGTTTGTTACGTAATAATATGCTCTATCGGTCTTGCCCAAACTCAAATACTGTGTGTGTATCGTATTTTGAGCCTGTACAGTACTGTATTTTTCCTGCAGTACTAAACGTTACAGGCGCTGCATGAAACTGGTTCAAGGCATTTTTTTGGTGTATTAAATTCAATTAATATCAAACGCGATCGGCTACTCGAGCCTTTGCGATCGACCGGTCTGTAGCCCTGGGCTACACGAAAGATAATAGTCATAATGAACTAATTTTGGGTTGCAAATTCCTATAATTTTCCTCGGCCTATGATAGCACAATAGCTTTTGATTTTGTTGAGCAAAACGCGCGGTGATGTCTCGAAAATTTTAGTCTATAATTTTTCCACCGGGTTAAGTTTGCGAGAGGATTGCTGAGTTCCTCGCCGCCCAAATGTGGTTTACGTAACCTATTTTGAAATCCCCTCTTTGAAAATCTTGGCTGCGCGCCAGATAACAAGTATATATGAGATTTCGATCTCTATGCCCGTGCTCGCTCACAAAGTATAGACTGGTAGCTGCGAAATGGTTTGGCCTGCGATATGTTAATTGGTTTCATCACATTTTCTCTCTGACGGCGTTTCTTAACTATACTGTGTTCCGCGGAACACTGCATGCAGTTGCGCAAGCTTCTTCGGAGTGTTCCGCGAAATTGCGACTAAATTGGTCGCCATGGCGATCTCGGTCGTACTTCGGCGACTCTGGGTCGTAAATTTGTCTCCCAACTGGCGACAAACAGGCGGACAGGCCTTGTGCCAGACTGAAAAGCATGGAGTTTTCGGAAACCGTCACTAGCAAACTTTTTTTGCCTTAGAATAAATTTTATAAAAACCAGCCAACGATATTACCTTCTAATTTCCGGGAAAAGTTTGAGAATCATTGCTCTATGCCTTCTATGGGATAAGAAAAGACTTAAAATGTAATCCAATCTATTAACCTTGAAATAAACGTAGTAGAGCTAAATTGAAGTATTTAATTTGAGTATAAGGTTCGACGCTCAGTCGTGTGACTTCGCACATCACGGCAATTTTAGAACAGTGAGATTGAAATATTATCGATGAAGAATACTGGAACGCGCCGATAAGGGACTTGAACACTTGTCCGTTGGATTAAAAGTCCAACGCTCTACCGACTGAGCTAACCGGGCTCACGGCAAGAATGCTTCCCAGACTGGCATGAACCATGTCCGCCTGTTCAGATAGCAGGGCATGTCCGCCTATTTTTCGCCAGTTAGGAGACAAATTTACGACCCACAGGTACCGAAGAACGATCCCTGTCGCGTAGAACACTCTGAAAAATCTCACGGAACGGCACTGTGGAACACATTTGAGGAACGCTGCTCTACAGGATAAAAAAAGACTTGAAATCCAATTCTACCTGTTCACGTTGAAATGAACGTAGTAGAGTCAAATTGAACCTTATAAGTATAGGCCCAATGCTCAGTCGCCTGACGGCAATTTTTAGAATAGTGAGATTGAAATTGAAACCGTTGAAAAAAAATTAATAACTTGCCCAATGTCCGAAAAAGGTTCCCCATATTTACCTAAAATATTCCTTCTCCTTCAGTAGATATGGAAGGACATGAGGCTTACCCGGACAACACTGTTTTACATTAAGAGAGATTTGCTATTTCATGTGCAATATTAAGCTTTTATAGTTTGGACACGACAAATAAACTTTTGTGAAATCACTCGGACAATTTCAAGGATAAATAAAACACAACCGGTAAACTCGATGTAATTTGCCGACGTTTCGATTTTCCATTCAGAAAAACTTCATAAGAGCATGATATAGAGAGAAATCCCGTGCTTGTTTGGGATGATAGTTATTGCCGAGAAAAATCACTCCTATCTGTGACTAATGGAACATATCGATTTTCCTTTTTCAGTACTCAAAAAGAGGTTGAAGCGTTGTATATAACTTTTATTGGACAAGTGGACGACCTGTGTGTGGATCGTTTCGTTATTATGCCATTGTTGTTCTTTTTTATCTCAATTTCCTTATTAGTATTTTACGACCAGTGAGATTGAAATACAATCGTCGAGGGAAAAGATAACGCCCGATAAGGGACTTGAACCCTTGACCGTTGGATTAAAAGTCCAACGCTCTACCGACTGAGCTAACCGGGCTTGCAGCAGCACCAAGTTTATGTATCCACAAATTACCGGTGAACTATTCCTTGGCCCATGTCCGTGAATGGTTTACTAAATTCGCCTAAAATAACCGTCCCCTCCAACAGTTATGGAAAGACATGGGTGTTTCCTTGACCCTTGACCCCAGAAAACTTTCCTCTATTTTACCATTGCAAAATTTTGATGCTTATTTTAAAAGTGTTTAGGAGAGTTAGCGCTTGCGAACTGGTTTACATGCTCATCATATATTTTTATATCACAGTTTTTCTAGGACTAATTTTTGAATATATTTCAACAAAACTGAAGCTGCTCAAAAGACAAAATTCTAATTAGGATATTTAACTTACAACTCATTTTTGGAAGCACTACTGAAAACTGACAAATTAAATCCAAAATCGATATAAGCAAGCAATGTTTACACATATTCATCAATATCTGTCTGAACTAGAGAAGTGTCCGAGCGGCTACATAAATTGCAATTGTTACGTCATTGTTGACGTATTCCCAATTGGTCATTGTTACAGACATAAATAAGGAAATCAATGCTCGGGGAAACAACCAGAAAGAACCTCACCCGGAGAACACTTTTAAGGTGCTGCCAACGTGTGCGATATTTTGAATAAACCGTTACATTAAGAGAGATTCGCTATTCGAGGTGCAATATTGGGCTCTGATAGCTCGACAACGACAAATAGAATTTTGTCACCCGGACAATTTTAGATCAATATAAACTAAGTTTCACTGTCTTTCGTTGCATTGTTGAGATTTATTGGACACAAAATGGCGATGGACTGTTTGTTCATTTTGTATTTTCTTTTTGTTGTTGTGCCAAACCGCTTTTATATTAACTACTGGACCAATTGCTTTGAAATTTTCAGCTGAAGTTCCTAGTTTTGTTACTATATTATTGACGTTAGTTTAATTAAGAGGAGAGCAATGCGCAAATA